CAACTGCGTAATTCTAAAAAAGACCTGGAATGTATTGTAGCCGTAACGGAGTAAATGTTATTAAAGATTAGATTGGTATCAAAGATCATTGTAACTTTGTTTCTAATAAAGTTGGGACTGTTGTTTATTGGAACCAGCTTGTGTTTAGATTGATCTGACCCCTTCAGTATTGTGGGACACATGGGCAAATTCATTTATAACTTTCTGGTCGGAGTTATCTGTAACTTGTTTAAAGGGGAACCAGACAACAATTTATTCCTGCTAGGACTCCGCAATTACCTCCCTAACTTCCCACAGCGCCCTGGGATTCACTTGATCAGGTCACAGAGATTTATCTCCCTTTATGTTTTCTAAGACCTCCAGTATCTCCTATAACGTAAACTGTTTTGAAAAAAATTGGTATTAATTTCCCTGATTTCTTTAGCCTCCATTTATTTCTTCGCAGTAAAAACTGACATGAAGTGGTCATTTATGTGGGAGTGAGGGAGGCAGAAGTGAGGACAAAGAGTGGTGAAATTGGAAATGAAGCAAAGAAGGCAACAGAGAAGGAGGAAAGATTAAATGGGTCAGGAGTGAAATGAGAGGCAAGAGGGAAGAAAGGACAGGCTCACTGGGGCGGGATAAGAGAGATTGCAGGAAGTTCAAAGTGGGGCAGGTGACTGAAGCGGCTGGGTGTGAGAGGGCGTTTCTTTTATTCATTTTTTGATGAGAATATTTATTGTCTATTCCTGATTGCCCAGAGGGCAGTTAAGAATCAACCACATTGCTATGGGTCTGGAGTCACATGCAGGCCAGATCAGGGAAGGATGGCAGTTTCCTTCCCTAAAGGACATGAGTAAACCAGATGGGTATTTCCGACAATCAACAATGGATCAAAGGTCAGCATTAGACTCTTGATTCCAGATGTTAGTGAATTCAAAATTCACCATCTTCCATCACAGAATTCAAATCCGAGTGCCCAGAATATTACCTGGGTCTCTGGATTAACAGTCCAGCAATACTACCACTATGCCATTGGCTGCCCTTGGACAATGTCCAACATCAACATTTTCCAATACTGTCCCATTATTTGGGTACATGCTTTCCCAGGGTGTGGTTTGTCCGTAATTGTGTCGACAGGACCTCTCTCTGTGCTCAGGTGCAGCAGCTTCCTGGCCTTGCGAGTCTGGTGGCTGGAGCTGGCAGGAGGCAGCGTCAGGACCAGGGCAGGTCTTGTGACTGTGTCCCCTCCACCTCGCCCATTCTCACAGTTTTGCCCTGTCTTCCCAATTCTCACAGGTTCACCCCTTCCCTCACCATCCAGACACACAGTTTCACCAGCCCCACTCCACAAGGAAATATCCCTTAGTGCTTTCAAACAGAGTTGGTCAGTGTGAGGAGAAGCAGCAGGAACAAGAGCGGATCAGAGGAAGGCAGGAGGGGAAGAAAGAGTGAAAGGCTGAGAGCATGGGTGTAAAGTGAAAGGAAGGCAGTCGGGAAAAATGAACGAGCAGAGAGTGTGTAGAAAAGAGAGAGGAAAATGGAGGGGTGATGTTAAAGGAAAGAAAACAAGGAAACAAAGAAAGGGAGTGGAGGGTGGGAGACTGCAAGTGGGTAGAGAAGGCGGGAGAGTGAGTCAGAGGGGTAAAATAGGTTACAACTGAAAATGGCGAGGTCAGGGTATTATTTGAGAGTGAGTTTGCATGGCAACCAGGAAGGAAAGTTGGATTGTCTGCAGTGAAACAGGAAAATGGTTAATAGACCAAAAGGTAAGTTCAGTGGAAAATGTAATCCCACCAAATCTGGAGATCACAATGAAGCCCAAAGACAGTCATAATTTTGCTCAGAAGAAAGCTATCCTCTATCCATAACCCAGCATAGCCAGAGCTTAAGTATAACAGTTCAAAATTGATATGAGGTATCCAACAAAACAAAATAAATTCTTCTGTTGATGTCCTTGAATCAATTTACAATGTTTTAATATGTATAGATTTTATTCCATATAAAACATACAGCTCAAATGCATCGTGACATCTTTTTGCCTCTCTGTGTTTAATGACCAAAAGAACTTGTACCAGGGTCTTTTGCTATTGTGCCTTTACAGCATTTTCCCCAAGCTTTAGTCCATCCCTCAGCATTTAGTCCTGGACCTTGAAATGTACCAGTCCACAACACTTGGTCAAGGATTGTTCTTTGCACTGAAAGATAAACAGGTATGTTGCAGGACAAAATGAGTGTTTTTTGTTTCACTGAGTTGATATCCTCCAGCTGCAAATGATGTTGATATTGTTCTGTAGCCCTAGGACCTCTCGACCTTCTCCAAACCCTTCATCACCCCCACCCTGGCAAAAACTATAGAATCGTGTGTGAAGGAGCTGCTGAGATGACACACAACCTGAACCATTGCATCATTTTTCTCGACCTGCTTTACAAAGACACATTGTCAAAAAAGCTGCGTAATGGGCTATTCTTCACCACAGCCACATCATGGGCAGAGCAGTTAAGTGTGATACCCTGTGTCACCAGGAACAACTCAATGGATAGCCCCTTGTCACCAACAGTCAGTTTAGGTCCGGATACTTAGTTAAATGTTCTGCCGATGAGGCATTCTATCAAATACACTTTGACAGTCTGCTCAGGGAACCATCAGACAGGATCCACCATCTCCTCTTCCTGCAAGGCTTTGAGGTAGTTCTGTGTGGACCAATGTCCAATGGATTTGTGATCACAGGAAAATTTCATCATAACTCACTCCTTGAGGGATAGATGGTACAGCATTCGTCCACTGAACAGAGAGTTACATGTCAATGTGACCAGACCCATCTCTGCAACACAAGGACAGGTAGAACCTCAACACAGCCTGAAGTTGTGTTTGCATATAGTCCAAGTTTCAGAACCAGACAGAAGAGTGAGAAAGGTGACCGCCTTATCTGTCAGACTCTTGGAATCAGCACTGAAATCATGACTATTGAAGGGTTTCAACGTAAGGCATCTGAAGAGACAGCCTCACTCTCACATTCACACTATGTGGTTGACCATAGCCGCACTGTCCTTCACGGTTGGGTGCACACCCTGGCCTGTCTGAACTAAATCGCAAGCAACTTCATGTGGTCTATGCTGATAGTGAGAAGACAAAGAATTGGTCAACATGGCCTCATTCCCAAGGAAATTTTGCCTTGATTTACTTTGGCAAAATGGGTTTCAGAGGATGTGCTGTCTCTGGTCTCCATGACATCCAATGTGGCATCAGAAATGTGCTTATACTTAATATGTCAGGATCCGGTGTTCTGAGCTGTCTCCTTTTCAAGGCTGCTAATTGCAGAATTTTCTTTCTCTATGTCTGTATCTTTTGGAAGAAGAAAGGTGTGCATACCTCATCCTGCTCCATGGAGCTGTCTCTGAACCAGAAAATGATCCTGGAGGTTTCCACAGTGGCAGCTGCTGGCTCTGAGCCTCTTGAAGATCCTCCTTGTTATTGACCTCCATTAATTGAAGCAGGAGTAGATTCTGCATGTGTTTCTGGAATTGGTATATTTGCCTCTATCACTCCTTTGTCTTCTGCACAATTTTGATGGTGAACAATCTCGGAATGTTCACTTTAACTGCTTCCTGTCAGAGCATTGCGGACTCAGTGGGTTTATATTTCCTAATCTTTGTGTTCCTTAGTAATTTTTCATGTCAACAGTATCATGTGCAGTTTCTATGTCCCTGTCCCTCTGGTCTTCCTGCAGGTTAACATTCAGCCAGTAGGAGGCAGTGCTCAGAGAACACCAGCTTGATGCCACTGGATCTCACCGCAAAACCATCTGGCCTGATCTAAATGTTTCAGTTGAGACACCATTCTTCTCCCTGATGGTTGAATCAGGGTGAGGGCAGGTTGCAAGTTGTGGAGGAGGTTTGCAGGGCTCCTAGTAGCCAACTTCATCATTCTATTCATGAGCACCCCTTTTTTCCCCCATTCTTGTATATCACTGAGGGAGCATCTTGGGCAGATCTTGAGGAGGGGATCTGCCACACCACACAGTTTGTAAGACTTGTTTTCCTCCAGTCATTTGTCTGATGTTCTTCCCGTTTTCTGTACTTAGCGGTGACAGTGCTGCACTCAGCCATAATGACAAGCTCTAGGCTGTCCTGTGCAGAAAAGTGAGTCCTGAATTGCCCCAATAGTAAAGCTGGATACAGGGTAGCAGTTAACGTCCTTGCTGTCTACCTACAAAGTCAACATGACTTGTCATTTTCTGATCCAATTTGAATCATGCCTTAAATTTCCCAGCCAAACTTTCAACTGTGCTTGATGATCTACTCATGAAATAATTTGGAGTTACTTATATTTCTGAATCTCTCAGTTTTAAATCATAAATGGAGCGATGACGAGGCCAAAATCATACACATGACTTAGCCCCAGTTCCTATCATTCTCAATGCAGCCCCTGCAACTATGTAACAGGTACAGAATGTGTCTCCAGTGTTCCCTCACTAAACCTAAGGAGAAACCTCATTTTATAAACAAACTGGATGCATTTTGGCTGTCCTGTGTAATGATTTCCCTGTGACCGGGACGTGGGACAATTATTCACATGGCTATCCTTTTCAAACTTGAACACTTCAGCCAACTCCTTCTACTGACTTCTCTGTTGCAGTCCCACACTCCCAAGAAACACACACATACACCCTCAATAGACTATTTGCCTGTTAACACTGGCTTGCTGTTGCCTCGATGTCTCTCGGAAAATATGATAAAAATGTGCCTCGAATGTCACTTCAGACACAGCCAGGCCAACTCCCACAGAAATCTGGTTTCCATGCTCTACTCCTCTGGTTAGATAGATTCCTGTACTGCTCTGACACAGAGCCGATGCTGCAAACTCTTAACCCAGATGTAGACACAGAAAGAATAATATGAAATGGAGAGTCTCCCAGAATTAACATCGAGCAATGTGAATGTTTAAGCTTGGGCCTTGGAGATCATTTAATGCCTTCACAACTGGATTTATCATTAGGAAAATGAATACACGTGTTTACCTGGGTGAATGGTGTGTATAATTTCTTTCCAGACTGTGTACTGTAACGGGCCAACGAACTGTCCGAGAGACAGAGAGGCATGAGCAGCTGAAAGTTCATGACCTTCATCACCAATCCTGTGAGTATTAAATGGTCGATCTTACAAATTTCTCTTTGCCAGAATATTTCAGAAATGATTTAAATGACCAATCCTTCAGCATTGTTCACATTTGAATAAGTGTGGCAGAAGGTGAAATGTTAATCTTATTTTCATCACCGAGCCAAGAATAATTTGATTATACAAGGGTAAGGATTGGAAACCGCAGGGTCAAGAAAAAGAGGTCATGTCCTGATAACAGTTTAGTTACTAAGCCACCGCACTCATACCACAGGAGCTGAAAAACACTTTCCCCGTGTGCTTGCTGTGTTATAAACAGAACTTCTGGAACAAAGAAGGTTGCAGAGGATGCTGATGACTTCACTCCTGAAGAACTGAGTCCTGTTCTGGCTGCCCCGTTGTAGGAAGGAGATTATTAAACTGGAGAGGCTTTAAAAGAAATTTACCAAGATGTTGCCTGGTATGGAAGTTTTGAGTGATAAGGAGAGGCTAGATAGCCTGGGACTTTTCTCACTGGAGCAGGGGAGTTTGTGAGGTGAACTTATGGAGGTTTATAAAATATTGGGAGGTATAGATAATATGAAGGACGGATGTCTTGGGGATTTCAAGACAAGGAGGCATTTTTTGTGATGAAAGGAGATAGATTTAAAATGGACACGAGGAGCTACTTTCTTTTTACATGTATCGAATTTTCTTTCGTGTATGGAATGAACTTGCAGCCTGAGGTCCAGATTGTGTAACTAGAATAAGGTCGAACAGTTTTATAAAATTTCATTCTGTTTCAAACCTTCAGTAAGATTCTGATTACAAAAACACTTCTGAAACAGTGGAGTTACTGTCGCCCGATAATACATTTTTAAATCTGAAATAAGCTTCTTCTTCCAAAAGTACTCGCCTATGAATATAAAGGACTAACTGTGGCCCGATAAATGACCCATTAAAGTGGCGACAATAACCAGGAAATAAAACCGTAATATTCGTCACTGAGTTCTTCAGCAAACTGTGCAGAGTTTCAGTAAAGAGCATGCCCTACCTTCTCTTCCGACAAGCTTTCTCCTGAAAGATATGAATCACAAATAGTGAGGATGACAGTAACAGATTTCAGGAGGAGACAGACAGGCTGCTGAAATGAGCAGACGCAACACGGAAATGGAAAGTGATACAATTTGGAAGAAATATTGAGGAGAGGGTAAAATAAACTGGAACGGGCCATCAATCCCACTCACAGACACACCGCCCTGACAAACCCACACACTCACCACATGGAATTGTAACTGGATTGCAATGGGAGTTTCAGGAGAGAAATAAACGTTGGGAACACTGAGTGAAGAACAAAACATTGCCGGGAGGCTCTCGATATTCCCGAGCTTCTAAAGATAGCGTGGGAGTGGGTCATTCAGTGGCAACATTGGAACTGCAATAAAGGCAGTTTAGTTCTGTTTCTATTTCGTTCAGTAACTGCGATATAAATGTGAATGTTATCACCAGCTTTGTTTTGTAACTGGGTGAAATTTCCACCAACTAACCCGCAATATATTCCCTCACCTTCAGAAATATCAGCTCGTCTGTTTGCTCCATCTGTTTCTGTATTGTTGACAGTTTCCCCTCAATAGAATTTAATTTCTCCTGAATCTTTCGAAGGTTTTTCTCCATTGGCTCTAGAATCCTCTTCTTTTCTTCCCTGAGATCTGTGAGTAAGCGCTACTCTTTCTCAGTTAGAATCTGGTGCATTTTAGTGAACTCGGATGTGATATGGATCTGCAGACTGCTCGCCTGTTCCTACCAAATGAAATATGAAACCTCATTAATATCCCGCGATAAAGGGAACAATACCAACCGAGATCCCAGAAAATCAGCACACGGAGATCTCACCCTCACTTCGGAAATCTTCCGTTTCTGGTTCAGTTCCGTTTGTAGAACCGCCGATTTCTTCTCTGTGAGAGAATCTAAGGAAGATTTCAGCTGATCCGGGAATTGGGAGAGAAAGCGCAGAACAGAATGTGTTAGGTCAAGTGTTGGATCAGTAGTATGTGATGTAACTCTCAGTTTATAAAATAACTCCCTTTACCTTATAGATTTCAACAGCTTCTTTACTTGGGATGAAGCGGTGGTCTCTGTGTTTCGCAGTCTCACAGATCACTTTCTTGTCAGTTTCACAAAACAGCTTCAGATCTTCCTGATGTATCTCACAGTGAAGTTTACTTTCCTTCTCTTTCGGATCCAACTTTAATTTTCGAACCTCCTCGGCCAGATTCGCTAAGGCCCGATTTACCGAGATTTCTTTCGGGGAAATTCCTCTCTACAGTCCGGGCAGGAGTTTATCTCCTTTTCCCAACTCTGGGTGATACAGGAGCGGCAGAAGTTGTGTCCACACTCCAGTGTAACCGGGTCGGTGAAGAAATCCAGACAAATGGGACAAATTGTCTCCTCGGTCAGTCCCTGGTGCTGCCGTCTGGAAGCCATGTTCAATCTCAGCACTTGCTGATTCCTGGGCCTCCTCCAGTGTCACAACGACGCCATCCGGAAACTGGACACAGTTATCTCATATTCCGAGATAACAAGGTGTACAGCTGGATGAACACAGCAGGCCAAGCAGCATCAGAGGTG